CCTCATAATTGCTAGGTAAGCATTTTTACCACTTGAGCCAGTAGTATAGTTTTGAACTCAGGAACTTGCACTTGTGAGACAGCCACCCTACTTGAGCCACGCCTCCAGCCTTTTTTTTTTTTTTTGAGACAGGGTCTCCTATATTGCCCAGTCTAGCTTCAAACTCATGATACTCCTGCTTCAGCCTCCTGAGTACTCACCATGCCTAGCTGATTGTCTCAAGTACTTTGTCACAGCAATGGAAAGCTGACTAACCCCTGGCAAGCAGCCTGACTCCAGAATCCACAGCTTGTCCACTTCTCAGGACTCAGCCCTGAACCAGCATTCTGATTTTATAAGTCAGTCTCAGGCAGTCATATGCTGTGACTCCTCCCTGAGAGACAAAGGCCTGACACTGGCCCCTGATGAATTCATCAAGATAACTAATGTCGCCCAAGAAGTGTTCTTGGGGAAACCAGCCTCCCCTAGTGACCTCTGACTCCATTGGCATTTGAACACTACCACAGCAGGTAACTAAGTGATCTGAACACCACGTGCTGAGTGTGCTATCAGGGGTGTGGACCAGGTGACCTGGAACTTGGGAAAGGAGCACTTTCTTCTTCCCGAGACATGAAAAGGAGAGGTATGAAGCCTGTACTAGAACCATAACATTTCCGCTAGACCATGAGCAGTGCCCAGGAGTGTGGCAAGCACACAGGGTAAGGGAAAGGCATTCCTGGCAGAGGGAACAGCATGGGCAAAAGGTTGGAGGTGAAATCAAGGTGTTTAACCTGTTGAGGATGAAAAAGACACCTAAGTACTGGCTTACCAATTCTCAATTCCAGTTGTTTCCCCCCACCACCACCCATGAGTCAGTTGGTTCTCCTTATCCTCAATTCCAATTCTTTTTTTGTTTTGTTTTTGACAGCACTAGGGTTTGAACTCAGGGCTTCACGCTTGCTAGGCTGGTGCTCTTACCTTTTGAACCACTCCAACAGCCCTTTTTGGTGATGGGTTTTTTAAAGACAGGGTCTCTAGAGCTATTTGCTCGGGGCTGGATTTGAACCTCAATCCTCCTGATCTCTGGCTCCTGAGTAGCTAGGATTATAGGTGTAAGCCACCAGCGCCCAGCATCAATTCCAATTCTTAACCCACACCCTCTGCAGCCCAAGATGCCCTAGTGTCCCAGCTGTCTCAAATTAGTGACAATGTAAGCATCATGGTAAACAATGATAGCAACAGAAGTAAACAAAACACACAGTATGAAGAGAAATATCTACATAGTTTCAAAATACTTCCTCACAAAATCCTGATACATTACAAAGGGAAAGAATAACTGCTTGACACCTTCTCTTGGGACCCCTCTCTGCTCTGGGAGCTCTGCCATTCGCTACTTTTCTATCTTAATAAACTCTCCTAACACACACACACACACACACACACACACACACACACACAGTAACTGCTGCTGCTGACAACAAAGCATTGCTTCTGCCATACTCCTGCTACAGTGCAACCTGAACAGAATCACAAGGAAGCTTGCACAAACCCAAACAGAGAGCCATGTAACAGAATGACTACTAGCCTTCCAAAGTGTCAAGGCCATTAAAGGCAAGAGAAAACACAGGCGCCTTTCCAGATGAAAGGAACATGGCAAATAAATGCCATTTGAGATGTTGGGCCTTTCATTGTAAGGGATTTCACTGGATTGTTTGGTAAAATTTAGATAGGATCTGAGGTTAGATGATAAAATTTTGAATGTTAATTTCCTGAATTTTTTTTGTAACTTTTAGCAAGAATTTATTTTAGTATAACAGGACAAAGTATAGACAGAGGCAGGGGAGGGGGAGACTCATTTCCTGTCCCCCATGCAGGAAATGGGAGCAAAGATTCCTCCCTGATTTTAATGGTTACTTTGGGATTATGTAGGAGAATATCTTTGTAGAAATTACACACTAAAGAAGTGTTCCAGGATTATGGGGCATTAAGTTGACATCTTACTCTCTTTTTTGGTGCTAGGGATCAAACCAAGGTCCTCAAGAATGCTAGACAAGGGGGCTGGAGGTATGGCTCAAGTGGTAGAGCACTGGGGTTCAAACCCCAACAAAGAGAATGCTAGGCAAGCACTCTACAACTAAGCCACATCCCCAGCCAGGAAACTTATTCTCAAATGGTTCAAAGTTTTAAAAAAGTGCTTTTAGGGCTGGATTCGTGACTTACATATATAGCACCTTATCTGTATGAGGGCTTGAGTTCAAACCTCAGTACTGCCCCTCCCTCCCAAAAAAGTGCTCTAACTGTACTTGCAACTTTTTTGTGTATGTGATTGTTTCAAAATAAAAATAAATCATTGCTCCATAAAGGGGCAAGAAAGAATGGCTGTTGAACCATATGAGTGAATTTTGACAAGCAATTGATCAGTAAAAATATTTTGTTATTCTGCTGGGTTTGTGATGTTTGTATTTTCTGTCAGCTTTTTAGCTTTGTTTGTTTATTTATTTTGAGATAGGGTCTCATTATGTAACCCAGGCTGGCCTGCCTCTGACTCCTGAGTGCTGGGATTACAGGTGTGATCTACCACACCTGGCTCTGTCAGTTGTTTTTTTTTCAGTTTGTTTTGTTTTGGTTTGGTGGTGGTGATGGTACTGGGGTTTGAACTCAGGGCCTCATGCTGTTAAGCAGGTGCTCTGCTACTTGAGCCACACCACCAGCCCTTTTTAGTGTTGGGTATTTTTGAGATAGGGTCTCTTGAACTATTTGCCTGGGACTGGTTACAAACCTTGATCCTCCTGAGTAGTTAGGATTAGAGGTGTGAGCCACCAGCGCCCAGCTGTCAGCTTATTTTAATTTGTATTTTGTAGTGATTTGTTTTGAGCATTCAGTTTCATAGTTGACTTTTCCTTCTTTTCCTAACACAGATCCTCTAAGTGGTCTAACCTTCTAGCCCCAAAGCCAATATCTATTTCTCAACATTTTTGCTACCATTCTAAAGATGAGGAAACCAAGGCACAGAAAGTGTCAGCTGGCTGCCAGTGGCTCACACCTGTAATCCTAGCTAATCAGGAGGCAGCTATCAGGAGGACCATGGTTTGAAGCCAGCATGGGCAAATAGTCCGCTATCTCAAGAAAAAAAAAAAAAAAGCCCATTACAAAAAAAGGGCTGATGTGGATAAATGAAAATAAAAATAAAAATCAATTAAAAAAAACTTTAACACTCTGGAAAAAAAAAGGGCTGGTGGAGTGGCACAAGATGTAGGCCCAGTGCTGAAAAAAAAAAGAAAGGAAGAGAAAGTGTCTTGCCAAAGTCAGTCAGCTAAGTGAAGAAGAATTTGGATCCAGTCAATCTGACCCCACAGTCTTCTTTGAGGAAACACTGTGAGGCTTCAATGAGATAAAAGGTCATGACATTAGAACATCTGCCTAGCAAGTACAAGTACCAAAATTCAATCCCTGGTACTATGGGGAAAAAATGATGTGACAGGATCTTTATAAATAAAAACTAGGTGTGTTGTTCATGCCTATAATCCCAGCACTCCAGAGGCTGAGTGAGGCAGGAGGATTGAGAGTTCTGGGCCAGTCTGAGCTACACAGTGAGCCTGAGTATAAAAAAAAACAGATTATCCACAATCAATCAGGTGCAAGATGTGCACTTGCTTGTGCTTGCCCACTGGTGCTTAGTTCTTTAGTTAGAGAGTGGAGCGCTAAGTCCCCCTACCCTATGTCAGAAACTGCTTGGGTTTTGACAGCCAGTCTCTCGTTCTGTCCTCATAGCCCCACAGGCAGGCCTTGTTGCCCAGGTAAGGCTCACAGATGAGTGACAATCAGCCCAAAGTCACACAGCTGGGAAGCGATGGAGCCAGGAGCAGGTGCTGGGGCTGGCAATGCCACAGCCACTCTCTCCCATTCAGAGCACCAAGCTGCCAGAGTGTGTGGTGGCAGAGGGCCTGCAGGCTAGGCTAACCAGGATTCAGGGGTATGACACAACCACTCCCCTCCACCTCATAGCCTAAGACAGATGTCCAGGACACAGTAGCAGTGTGGCAGCAGGACAACATTTTGGCTCAGATCACAAGCAGTTATCATCTGCAGACCAGGCAGCAGCAGGGGGCAAGCAGCTGGCCACCAGCTTCAGGAAACTCAGACTCTGACTGCATAATTGGGTCAGGAGATCCTGGGGAAAAACAAGGACTTTGGGCAGATCTGGGCCCTCTCCCTTCCTGCTGGGGAGACACTGGGAGAGTCGTTTCATCTGCTTGAGTCTCACAGAGTAAGAATCTAGTCTCATGTAAAAGCTCTCAATGTTAGACTGGGAAGTGATTAACATACCAGCTGTAGGAATCCAGGATTGGAAAAGGGGGTTCTGCAGGACCTTGTTCCTGCAGGGTTCCCAGCACTGGAGTCAGAGGAAAGGGACCTCCTGGACTGCACAGTGGACAAAGTCCTCCCAGCCCCCAGGGTTCTGGCTCCCTTCCCTGCCGCCTGTTCCTTACCGACAGAAGGAACAGGGCTCCAAGGTTAGGCAAACAAGCCAGCGATAAGGCACTTCCATGCTGGGCCTTGTATTCAAGGCTTGTCCAGTCTGCGGCCAGCTTCCTGGCTCAGTGAGAAATATGGTCTTGTGCATACACAAGAGCTGGCACCAATGGAAATGGCAGTCACAGTCGCCTGCTGATTGGGCACCTGAGGCCTTGGTGTCCTGGTACAGCCTGGGTTAATGACCCTGTTTATCCACTTGAGTCATCTGATAAGGGATAGCCAGGCAGCAGGCAGGTGGCCCTGTGCCCTGCACCCTGCACCGGCCACTTCATTGACTGAAGCCATATCAACGCCACGTGGAGCTCCTAATGTCCCCTCCCCTGCTGCTTCCCCACCGGTCTTGCCAGGGTCAATGTGTCTGCATTGTTTTTTTTCAATGAACATGACTTCTGGAGTCAAGGTTGTTAGGCCATTCCCCCTCCTGCACACTAGGCATATAAATAGCACACACAGTGCAGCATCCAGGGCCAGAGCACTGGGAAGAAGTAGGAGCAGGTCCCCAACCATGAGCTCCAGCCAGTCAGGGGCCTGCCCATGCCAGGGCACTGCAGGCCAACCGACCATTCTGTATGCACTTCTGAGCCCCAGCCTCAGGCCCAGGCCCTCCGTGCCCCCATCCCGCAGCCACTGCCTCTGCAGGCAGCACCGACCTGTTCGCCTGTGTGCTCCCCATCGCACCTGCCGGGAGGCCTTGGACGTCCTGGCCAAGACAGTGGCCTTCCTCAGGAACCTGCCTTCCTTCTGCCAGCTGCACCCCCAGGATCAGCGGCGCTTGCTGCAGAGCTGCTGGGGCCCCCTCTTCCTGCTTGGACTGGCCCAAGACACTGTGACCTTTGAGGTGGCAGAAGCCCCAGTGCCCAGCATACTCAAGAAGATCCTGCTGGAAGAGCCCAGTAGCAGGGCTGGCAGCGAGCAGCTGCTGGAGAGACACCAGCCCTCTCTGGCTGCCGTGCAGTGGCTTCAATGCTGCCTGGAGTCCTTCTGCAGCCTGGAGCTGGGCCCCAAGGAGTATGCCTACATGAAAGGAACCATCCTGTTCAACCCAGGTAAGCTCTCAGGTACTCCTGGATGGAGTGCCAAGATGGGAGGGAGATAGGGTCCAGCCAGGCCAGGACTTTCTACGGGGTTGACATCCATTATCTCATTGGGTCCCCATTGTTATCAAATAGCTTTCTCACAGAACAGGCACAGAGAGGCTAAGTGACTAACTGAAGGTCACACAGACAGGGAGGGGCAGAGCAGGGATGGAAACTCAGGTCTGTTCACTCCAGAGACTGACCTTTGCCACTTTTGCTCTGACCCTCAAGCAATGTGGGAGCGGGGAGGAGGTAAGGCAGACAACTGTGTCTCAGCCACATCTTCAAGGGCAGTTTGCCCTTGAAGCTCTGAAGGTTAAACTCCTCTGTGGGTTCAGAAAGACCACACAGAGGAGTGTAACGAAGAGATGTGGAGGACGGGGAGGGAGTCCTTGTAAAATCTACCCTAGAGAGCAACAGAGAGTGTGTTCTTGTTCTTCATAACTAGAGAGAATGAAATGAGAACCCCACCAAAAGGCCCTGAAGGCTAGCGTGAAGTACAGTGATTAACTGTGATAACAGTAGTAAATACTCGAGTTACACTTACCATATGTTAGGCCCTATTTTAAGGGTTTTACATATACTGGCTCATTTCTACTTCATAACAATGCCATCCTATCCCCATTTTACAGATGAGGAAACTGAGGCACAGAGGTTAAGTAATTTGCTGAAAGTTACTCAGCTAATAATTGACAGCACTGAGATTTAAACCCGGCCACCCTGGTCCTTAACTATTATTATATACTGCCTATCCATAAGTGGATGAACAATATGATAATAAATAATGGAGGTGGTAGTTGGAGCCTCATAGGTGGAGCAAAAGTGGCAGAGGGGGTGCTGGGGATGTAGCTCAGAATTAGAGTGCTTGACTGGCATTCTAGAGACCCTGAGATACATCCACTGCAAAAAAAGAGAGAGGCAGAGGGTGTCACTGGCATCCTCAGATTCTGGGCCAGCCTCATCCTTTGGTGGCTGGAAGTGGGTGCTCATCAATCGCTTTGCCCTCTCTGCTGCAGATGTGCCAGGCCTCCATGCCTCCTCCCACATCGGGCACCTGCAGCAGGAGGCTCACTGGGCACTGTGTGAAGTTCTGGAGCCATGGTATCCAGCAGGCCAAAACCGCTTGGCCCGCACCCTCCTCATGGCCTCCACCCTTAAAAGCATTCCGCCCAGCCTTCTTGAGGATCTCTTCTTCCGCCCTATCATTGGAGACACTGACATCGCTGGACTCCTGGAGGACATGCTTTTGCTGAGGTGACCTGCAGACGGGAGACCCAGTGCTCCTGGAGGGGGAAGCCTGACCACATTTACCTCTCCAGAAGCAGCCCCTCACTCAGCCACACCCCAACTTGGACTTCCTTGATTTGGACACAGTCCTCCAGCCGTCTGGGATAGGGATGGAAGTTTAGGTTGCTCACTGGGCCAGAATTCCTATTGACTTTGTACAGAACTGAATTAAGTTATTGGTTTTTGTAATAAAAGGTGTGACATGCTTGGAACCTGACACTGTAGTTCGTGTGTACGGAAGGGACTAGCTCACCTCCAGGTCCCATCTGTTCCTGTCAGAGGGAGCCCATGGGAAGGAACCATATGGGGCACAGGGAGGCCCAGGCCTTGGGGAGCTGGGGCATTAATTTTTCAGAGTGGGATGGTGACTTCATTTCTGGGGATGAGATTTATTCTGCATCTGGGTTTGAATCCAGCTGATAGTACCACTTCACAACCCTGTCTCCAACCTGCCTTTATTATAGGAAGGGGGAGTTTTCTCTCCTCGCTACCAAATCCTCCACTAACCCCTCTAAGGCTCCTGCTCCCTATAGGTTCCCTCTCACCTCACAGGAAGTGGGGTCACAGCAAATCAGGAAGACACCCAGTCTTAAATTAAACAAGGCCACTGCAATTTCTGAGGTTTGGGATTCCTCACTTCCTCCATTCCTGCAGCTGGCAGAAGAGAGTGCACCATTACTCTCCCAACGTGAGGACACAAGGCACCCAGGGCTGGCCTGGAAACTGCCTAGAGGCAGAGGCATGCTAAGCTTTAGCCACAGGGCATGGTCATGCCACTCCATGAAGGTTCACAGCTACCCACCCTAAGCCCCTGAGTTCCTTTCCACTGCCTCTCTGCTATGCCTTTGTCCTGGGACCCTCCCCCTGGACACTCCCATTGTCTAGCCACTTGAAAGACCTAGCCATGGCCTCCAGCACTACTCCATTCTGAGCCTGGCTTAGGTCTATTTGGATTGGTCAATGTCTGTGCTTCACTGTTTGTTAAATATTTTGACCTAGTCAGGGTGACTGACCTTAAGGGTGGGCAGGAGGGGATGATAACAGCACAGATGCCTATAGGACTTGCAGGCCTCCTCCTGCCCTGGCCACACATCACCCCATTGACACCACAATCTGGATCCTTCTCACAGGGGCCAAATTAATTATTGCTCAGTGAGAGGTCATTCTGTCAGGGGCAACAGCTTAGGCCTTTCTCTAAGGCCCCCAGCTTAGACAGCAACAAGGGCACCTCTGTCCCTTACCTAGCCTCCTGCTCACAAGTGAGACATGAGACAGAAACACACAGCTCAGACCTCACGACAAAGACACATGCAACTCAGATGTACAACCTATACACACCCACACAGACATACAACTCACACACCCCATAAACAGGTTCTCCACCCACCCCTACACAGAACAGAGAAGCTTGGCGCAGCCACATTCACCCAGCACCATGAAGCAGACACATATACACGCTCCCACAATAGAGACATGCCCCAAGCCACACAGCCACACAAACACCCTGCACAAGTGTGGAGCACACAACAGAGACACCCTCACACCAGGGCACGTTTTTCATCCTCCCTATATCATGGTAAAGAGAAAAGAGGCTCCAAAGTAAGCACACCTGTGTCCACACATCTTTAGGATCTACCCAGATCTTACATATCCAGACCAAACTTCTCTGCCTGGCATTTGGAACCTCAACTAACCAATCATCCTTTTCTCCACAGTGACAACATGGGTGACAACCCTCTTTTTAACCACTCCCCACACACACACCCAAGATCCCCCAGTAGAAGGATCCTCTAGAGCCCCAAACAGGCCTTGCATTTTCCCACCTCCCATCAGACCCCCAAACCCTGGCCTTAGATACTCAGGCCTTTCCCTGCCCTGCCCTCCACCCCCAGCCTTGTGGCCCACACCAGACCCTCAAACCATGCAGACACAGGAGGCCACTCTTGCAAGAGTTAAAAGCCTGCTTCCCCCATGGGACCCAATCAGCAGATTCAGAGTTTGAGGGTCACACTATATCTTTTTTTTTTTTTTTTGCAGTACTGGGGTTTGAACTCAGGGCCTATACCTTGAGCCACTCCACCAGTCCCCCCTTTTTGTGTGTGATGGGTTTTTTTGAGATAGGGTCTCTCAAACTACTTGCCCATGCTGGCTTCCAACTGTGATACTCCTGGTCTCTGCCTCCTGAGTAGCTAGGATTAGAGGTGTGAGCCACCGGCACCTGGCTCACACTATATCTTTTTTTTTTTTGGCTTGGAAAGTTGTGTAGACCACTTCTTTTCTTTTCTTTTTTCTTTTATATGTGCATACAATGTTCGGGTCCTTTCTCCCCCTTTCCCACCCCACTCTCCCACACTATATCTTTGATGCCTCTTCAACAACTGCCTCTGTTAGTTAACCATGGTACCTCCCTGAACCCTCAGGCCATCTTCCTGCCTCTCACTCTTCCTCCTCCAACCCCACCAAGCATTAGGAAGCCCGGTGCCAGCCTCAAACCTTGCTTCACTTACTTATGCCTCCCATGTAGCTGGAAACAAGGTGTGCTCCACCACACTCGACTTACTGGTTGAGATGGGGGTCTTTCTTTTTCTTGGGCTGATCTTGAATCATGAATATTCCAGTCTTTCCCAAGTAGCTGGGACTACAGTTGCAAGTCACCACACCCAGCCAAAATGTAACTTTTTGATATTGGCTATCTTCACTCATCGTGACTCCCTTGGAATCCATCCATGTTTTTGTGTGTATTAATAGTTTACTCCCCTTTATTACTAAGTAGGATTACATGATATGGATGTACTACATATTGTTTAACCATTCGTCTATTGAAAAACACATGCGTTGTGTCTAATTTGGGACCATACCCCATGACAGCCTATTCCTTAACTTATTTTTTTGTCATCTAAATAGCTTCCTTCTTTAACTCTATCTTTTTCAAATTTCTTCCCTACCCCTCCACAGAGTTGGAAAGCTACACTTCTGTTTCTTTATCTTTCACTCTAAGTCTTGTGCAAGGAGCATCAAACAAATATGACAAGCCAGGTGCCAGTGGCTCACGCCTGTAATCCTAGCTACTTGGGAGGCAGAGATCAGAAGGATCATGGTTCAAAGCCATCCCAGGCAAATAGTTCTCAAGACCCTATCTCAAAAAAACCCAACACACAAAAAAAGGGGCTGGTGGAGTGGCTCAAGGTGTAGGACCTGAGTTCAAGCCCTGGTACCGCAAAAAAAAAAAAAAATATATATATATATATATATACATGACAAAACAAATGGGACAATAATGGTCCAATGTAATAAGGACTGTAGGCTTTTCAAAGGAGAGGGACTGTGTCTCCCTTACTAACTTCCTGGGATGGGACCTCTGTCTCATTTCCAGGTAAGCAAGATGAGGAAACAGGCCCAGACAGGGCATGTGACTTACTCAAGGTCTGGGCTGACCACTGTCTATGCTGAGCTTTGAGCTCAGACCTGTGTGATTCAGAAGGCTGGGTTCTTATACTAACACAGGCTGAAGTGACTCATGGCTAGGACCCAGGCTGTCTGGTGCCAACTCTGCCACTGTCTACTGACCATCTACCTCTTAGCCACCGTCCCTGTCTTCAGACTCAGCCAGGAATGACTCATTGGAAAGCAGTGACTCTGGATTAGCCTAGGGTACCATTTTATTGCCATCCTAATCTCGGTCTTCATTAGCTTCATATTAAGCGGTCAGGCAGCTGACATGTGCTGATCCCTGGACTGAACCTCCCTGCCCTTGGGGAATTTGCATATCCTAGAACCTTTGATTCCAGCAGAAGGCCAATACTCATTATCCATTCGATCATTCATTCTAGCACTCGGAATACCTTGATATCCACTTGTACCAGATCCTGTGCTAGAGCCAGGGAAAAGGGCACAAAATAAATAAGATGCAGTTACTGCCTTCAAGGAAATCCTGTCTATGGTACAGGAAGACATATAAGTAATTATAACACAGAGTGATTGGAACGGTGATAGAAGAAAGTACAACAGACAGCAGGAATGATTAAATCTTTCTGGAGGTGGAAAAATGCTTCACTGTTTTGAGAATGAATCAGGGTTTGCAAGGGATGGGCATTCCAGACAGAGGGAGCGACATACACAAAGGCACAGAGGTATATGAAAGCAAGGGGTGCTTGCTGCTTGCTGCAAGTAGCCTGGAGCATGGGGCCCAGCACAGCAGGAGATGGGTCTGAAGAGGTGGTTAGGGAATGCATCACAGAACAAGATGGTAGAGAGCTGGGTATGGTTGTGTACACCTGTAATCCCAGCACTCAGGCGGCGACTCAGGATGATCAAGAGTTCAAGGCCAGCCAAACACCATGGAAGTCCAGGAAAATCATCAGAGACTACTTTGAGAACCTATATTCAAATAAATTTGAAAATCTAAAAGAAATGGACAGATTTCTAGATACATATGATCATCCAAAACTGAACCAAGAGGAAATTAATCACCTGAATAGACCTATAACACAAAATGAAATTGAAGCAGCAATCAAGAGTCTCCCCAAAAAGAAAAGTCCAGGACCTGATGGATTCTCTGCTGAATTCTATCAGACCTTTAAAGAAGAACTGATACCAACCCTCCTTAAACTGTTCCATGAAATAGAAAGGGAAGGAAAACTGCCAAACACATTTTATGAAGCCAGTATTACACTTATCCCCAAACCAGGCAAAGACACCTCCAAAAAGGAGAACTATAGGCCAATCTCCTTAATGAACATTGATGCAAAAATCCTCAACAAAATAATGGCAAATCGAATTCAGCAACACATCAAAAAGATTATTCACCACGACCAGGTAGGCTTCATCCCAGGGATGCAGGGGTGGTTCAACATACGAAAATCAATAAACGTAATAAACCACATTAACAGAAGCAAAGACAAAAAACCACTTGATCATCTCAATAGATGCAGAAAAAGCCTTTGATAAGATCCAACATCATTTCATGATAAA